TATTGGTTTTTATTTAAAAAAAACTTTTTTTGAGGTTAATTAGAAAAAAATTTTGATAAGTAAAAAATAATAACCGCTATTACTTTTGGCTAGGACTGTAAGTCAACAATTTTATTTAAAAATTTATGATATTTATGAAATATTTTAAATAAATTAATTTATGTATTCTTTGATTTATCTGTATTTATATTTCTTGATGCTTATTCTAAAATTTCTTCTTTAATTGATAAAATAAATCATATGTTTGACTTTTTTTTTGCAAAAATAAAAAAAATTTGTTTATAAATAATTAAAATAATTAATCACATGCTAATTATGTTATTATTATAATTAAAAATAGATATCAAGTTACATAACATACTCCTAGAGATTATTCATTTATTTCATAAAAGTTATAATAGCATAAATTCTCTATGGTTATAATATACAAATAGCCTAAAAGCCATCTATATAATATGATTGATCATAAGGAATCTTCACTATTATTATTATCTTCTCATAAAATAAATAATACTAATATATTAAAAAAATTATAATAATTTAATAAAGAAATTTAATTTTATAATTAATTTTATTTGAAAAAAAGATTCGATTATTATTATTATAATAATTTATATATAATTAATTAAAATTATAAATAAAATATATATATGTTTATAAATAAAATTGTTAAATCTAGTTTAGAATAATAGAATAATGAAAAAAATAGGTTGACAAGTATTATTATTATAAAAGAATAATCAAAATAAAATATTTTTAATGTTTTTATTATATAAAATTATTTATTATATCTTAATTTATAATTATATAATAAATTATATATATTTATATATATAAATTTAAAATATTAATTTAAAATTTATATTATTTAATTTGTTAAGTTTATTTTTTAAATTTATAATATTATAAAATAATATAAAATTTAGTTTATAAATAAAAATTAAATTTAATCATATATATAAATATTAAATCAAATTTTTAAAATTTTTTTTATTAAAAAACTTTAAAAAAACTTAAAAAAATAAATTTATAAAAATTTAAGTAATAATAATTATTATTAAATCTATATATATATATATTATATCATATTTTACATATATATTGATATTAATATATATTGATTTATTTTAATTATAAGCTTTTAAATACCTTATTATAAATTATTTAATTTATTAAAATTTAATCAAATTTAAATTTAAAAATAGATTTTAAGTTTAATAAAAATATTTATCATGAATAAAAGTTTATATAATTACTTTAATACTTAAAATTATTAGAATAAGTTTAAATTTTTATTTATAAATTTATTAATTTAAGATTAATATATATATAATCATTTCAAAAATATTTTATAAAAGTATGAATCAATATATAATTTTTTATAAATTTTTTTAACTAAAATCGATTGATTTTATCTTAATAAATTCTTCAATATGATTATTAGGAATTTTATATATAATAGAATACTTTCCAATAAGTTTTAAAATAAATTATTTTTCTTTTAAAATTATATAAAAAATATTGTTATTTTCTAATAATAAATTTTTATATATTACTTTAAAATTTTATTAAAAAATTGGTATATTAAATTGCAAATCAGATTTATAAATATATTTTTTGTTTAAATATATTAAAAATGCTTTTTAAATTATTTTTAAGCAATTTTGAGTTTTAAGATATTTGATATTAAACTATTTGCTTATAATAAATATTATTATCTATATTTCTAATAGTTTTTTTAAACTCAATGAAATTTAATCAAGTTTTATATTTAAGAAAAGTTATTTTATAAAAGGTTTTGAAAAATTTCTAAATTTTAAACTACACATAAGTTATATTTTGATTTGCATCATTAAAATATACAATAATTTTTTAATTTGATAAAGAATTATTATTCCTATAAAAATTAATGTATTTTTAATTGATTTAGGCAGACAAATTTCAAATATAGATATATTCAGAATTTGTGTTGAATTATAAAAGGTTAGAAAATTATGTTTAAAAATTCATAACAAAAAAAAAACCTAAAATTAAACTTAATATAATTATTTATAAATTTATAAGAAACAAATTATAAATAGTATTTTTCATTTAATTTGCAAGTATTCTCTTGTCTGAAATTTATCTGGTTTTAAAAATAGATTTCAGATGATTAAAAATTCTGAAATACTTTTTGTCTCAAAATTCTCAAAATTGTAATTTTTGATACTTTTCAAAACATTTTTGGACTTGAACATTTTGATGATATTTTGAAGACATTTATTTTTCATAGGGTATTTTTAAAAATATAATTAAAAATGAAAATAAAGTAAATGCAAAAATTATGTGATTTATTTAATTTAAATCTAACAAATTTATAGTAAATTAAATAAAATTAGTAAAAAAAAAAAATAAATAAGCCGTTAAATTTTAATAAGAAAAATTAAATACCATAAAAATTTAATAAAATTAATGAATAAATTTTATAAATAAGAATGCGTAGCTAATAATTTTGTTCAAAGTTATCTATTTTTTATAAAACTTGATGATAAAAAATTTTTTCAAGTTTTAAAAATAATTTCTATTAAAAAAATAAATGTATAAAATTACAATAAATAAGTATTATATTCAAAGAAAAGACTCAAAAAATATTTGACATCATTGTAAAAATAAAAATTGACAAATTGTGATTGGGCTAAAATAGAGTTGAATACGAAAATCAATTTCAGCTAAAAATCGATGTAATTCGAGGTGAAAAAACTTTTGGAAATAAAAAAAGTAATAAAATCGACATGACTTTCAGAAACAAAACAATCCAAATGGCGCAAAATTTAGGAATAAATACCTATACCCATAAACCAAAGAGAAAAATTGGATTTCTAAAGGGCCGCAATTATTTTCATTTAGAGGTGCACTAGATTTGTTTACGCGTTGCTATTTATGTTGTATCTGTTTACAAAAGAAGGGAAGGATTACGGTAGTTTATTTTGCAATTATCTTGAAAATATTAATGATTTACAATATGTAAGTATATCATATTTTTATACCCGATTTGGCTTATGATCTAGATATGAATTTTATTTGTTGAAATTGTTCACGAAAAATTAGATTGTTTCGATAATTTTGTTTTACAATTATCCCGAAATTTCATTATTCAATGATTACATCATGATGATTTGACCATTTTCTTTGCACATGTTCTTATACCTGATTTAGATACGAATTCTATTTGTTGAAAGTTCTCACGAAAAAAAAAATAGATCGTTATTGAAATGTGGGAAATAGTTCTTTAGTTTTGCAATTGTCTTGAAAATACAACATGACGATTTAATCTATTCCTTTAATAATATTGTTATTGACAATTCCTCAATCCCAATCCCAATTCACAAAATAATACAAATAATACAAATATATATTTTCATTAGATTATATCATAAAAATATACAATTCCCAATTCTATAACGAATCGAAATAATAAAATAGTAGATTGATTAATGTATTTTCTTATTCCTTCTGAAAAAATCTGTTGTTTTAATGATGTATTTACTTATTATCGTAATGCGGGGTAAAGTCCTAATAAGGATCGTTACGATGATCCACCTTTGTACTCGTCAATATTGTTTTATTTTTTTTTTAGTAACGGATCACTTTTTTTCGAACATTCTATAAAATCTGATCTTTTTTAAATAAAAATGTCTGCTTTTCAACCCTAAAATTTCATATATAAAGTTGTCGTTTTCAAGTCTTTAAAATTTATTTTTATTTTTTTTACTTTACTTTAAGAACTTGATTTCACAAATCAAAAGATATAATATAACATTCATTAATTCTTGATTCAAACATTATACCGCGCATTCGTCATTCAATTATTTTCCATAAAATAAAAAAATATAATGACCAATAAAAGTACAATTCGTCGTCGTCAAACAGCAGCAGCAACTACCACTGCTGCTATTTCCTCTTCTTCAACATCTTTACAAACCTCACCTAACATCGATGATAAATTAGAACTTGCAAAAAAGTTAGATTCAATCAAAACTTCAGTGAAAGACCAAGAAACATTAATAAATAAAGATAAAGATAAAGAAAGTTCAACCATTAAAGGATTGTTTGAGGAAATATTAGATAAATATTCTGATATTAAAACGATCTTGACGATACCAGAATTACTGGCACCTGCAACAAAATCAAGGGCACAAGGAACCCCCAGACCTCAAAATGCATATATAATATTTCGAAAGGATATTTCAAAAGGTTTATATATTCTTAATCATAGAGATGGTCAAAAATCTAAATCTGTAATATACACCTCTAAGATAGCAAGCTTTATATGGAGGACAATAAAATCATCGACGCGTGAATTTGAGTTTTGGATGAAATTATATCGAATCGCTTGCTTAAAGCATTCAGAAACTTACGAGAATTATAAATATCGTCCCGTTAGAAAGAAACGTAAAGAAGACAACGTTACAAATTTGGGAACTGATTCTACATCAAATATACAGCCTCCAATTTCAAATATTCCAGATGTTAATGCTGCTGCATTAATCACAACAGACCAAGAAACGTTTATCAATCAACAACAAACACAACAGGAACATCATGCAACGATCTCCGATGACCAAGTGGACCCAATGCTATTTCAAGGGATAACAACAATATTACCGGGAATGCATGACTATTCCGTACCTGTTGAAATTAACCAGCTCCCGACACAAATCTATGCTGCGCCACAATACGCGGAAACCACGCTTGTGTCATCCTATACTCAACTCGAAAACCATTTCTCAACGGGACTAACAAATCAATTTTACCAACAACCTGCAATTCCGTATGTTCCTGCAACATATTACTTACAATCTCCGTCGATTCAGACGATTGGTGCTGATACCCAATACACATATCCATCATACGACGGGTGGGATTTCATAAGCCAACTAGATAACAATGGTTCGGGAAGTGAAGTGATCGATCCGTTCTTGTTACAGCAGTCTGATGCCGATCAATCATCGCCGGCGGCGCAATAATAGTATGACAAACATACGCGTATGACTTATTTCGTAAAACTTTACATTAACTATTAAGATCATAAATAAGAAAATTTAAATAAATGATTAATGATTTTTTTTTTTTAATTAATTTTTACGTTAAATTTGTATATAAATGAAAAGTTAATAATATAATAAAATATCTATATTTTATTAAAATATTGTGAAAGCTGCTAAAAATTTAAATGTTAGAAGAACTAATTTTAATTTACAAAATAAAGCATAGTATACAGTACAATATAGAATATATCAGAAATGTATGGAATTAAACTTCGAAATACAAAGAGAAACAACCCAGGCAGGTTTTTTTATACCCTAATGTTTGAAGTCAAGCGCATTTAGTGTGGCGTTCTTGAAGGGAAAGACATGCTCAAAATTTTTATTAATACATGATTTGATATTGTTTACAATAAAAATTTGTTGCGATACTTAAACATTTTTAAAATTATAAACTACTTTAATTTAAAATGTTTAAAACTCTTAAAAGTTATTAAGAACGATAAATAAGAATCAATCATGTTACCTTGAGTATTACTATCGATATCGACCTTTAATTATTTAAAAAATCTAATAAAATAGAGATAAAACAAAAGCTTATCATTATCTGATGTAATGATACTGCGGTTTTTAACCTTTATTAAAAATTTCGTGATTAAAAATTATTTTTATAGGTTTGATGTTTTATGTGTACTTTTTCAATCACCTTAATCATTTTATCAAATTATAATTTTTAGTCCAAGGTAACGGAATTAATATCCTAACCAAACTAACATGATTAATTTCTAATTTCACATGAAATGAAGGTTTTGGAGGTTCATTACATCGAGTATTATTTTATATATTTGTATATCCTGCCTGGTATAAATGGTACCGAGGAAGCAATTTTTACAATCTGTTCACAACATTACCAAGAAGTAGGATTCACGTGTTTTGAAAGTTTAATAAATAGCTATAAAATAAATAAAATTCAGAAATAAATAATTAAAAAATGCTAATATTTATGTCGCCCAAATTTTCTTCTTTATTTTTCTATTTGTTGAAAGATTTTGATTGGGTGTCGCTATCAGACACGAACATTATACATAATCTAGCGGAAATTGATAGATTAATATTGGAAAATTTGTATTTACTAAATGCAACGATGCATTTGTTGAAATAAGTATGTATAAACGCTTCATAAGAAATAATTTATAAAACAATCTGAAAAAGTATAAGGTAAAGAATTTATACCCACGACTTTGCTAACCGTTCGATATTTAAAATAATCTGAAGATGATATCATGATTTGTAGCGTAGTAAAAGTGATTTATTAAAAGGTATTATTATGTTTGTATTATTTACGTTACAAATTAAACTTATACTACATATTTTTGCAAATTGCAGGGGTCATGTCGGTCCATTGGCGCAGAATAAATTTTTCACTAAAGTCATTAGATAAATTATTAAGCCTACTAACTCAGGTCCTTTATTAATATTCTGGTCAAGTGCCGAATTGAACTCCTTGCGGGACTTCAATTGAAATGGCCAAATTATTCATCTGGCACTCTTGGCCGAATTTAATGAGAAGATTTGATTTTGGAATACAAGATAGAAACGAAAAAACTGATGGAGCAACATAGATTGTAAACTTTCACGTGGAATGATAACTTCTGGTAATATTGGTAAAGAAACTAATATATTTAATTAAAAAAAAAATAACTACAATCCTCTAAAATAACATCAATTTGTTATCGACATTCCAATTTTTATAGTCTTATCATACAATTCACTATGAGCAAAGGTTTAAATGGCTTTTGTAAGTTGCTATATATTCAAGCATCAGGTTTAAAATCATTAGGAGGTAACATAGGCTATTATCAACTTACGAAAATTGACATCATTTCGATTGATATCATTACAACCATCCTCAATGCATAAAAAAACTTTTTCACGTTTAATGAATCCTATTTATTTAACTCGACAATAGATGTGATGCATTGGTTGAAAAGAATATTAATGTATTTAAATGTCCCAGATACATTTTACTAATAGCTTTATTTCTTTTGTAATATAATTGGTTAAGTAAATTTTATTCGACTAAGGAAATAAAATTCTGACGTCTACTTATATGAATATACTTCATATTAATAAAAAATTATTGAACCATATATATATTATTCTAGTTAATTAACTCTAAAAAAATAATTTTTTATTATTACTTTTTGAATTTTACAAATAAGAACACTATAATATAAACTAAGACAAGAAAAATTTGAAATTAAAATAATTTTGAAAAATAGAACTTTAAACTAAATTATGTAAAAAAAAAAAAAAAAAAAAAAATCAAATTAACGAGTTATACTTTAGTTGATAAACCATTTATTGAATTGAGAAAATTACTAACATTGTAACAATAGATTCGATACCATTTCAAATTCTTAGATGTCGTCTTTTTTAGTATCATGAATGATTAATTCAAGATTTCTGACCCTTTCGTCTAATTCATTAATAATTTTTTGCTTGTCTTTGGATACTTCTCGTACCATAATCTTTTCTTCTAAATTATCAATAGTTCCTTGCTTGATATCGGCTTCTTCTTGTTCTCTAATCTTTTCTTCTAAATTATCAATAGTTCCTTGCTTGATATCGGCTTCTTCTTGTTCTCTAATCTTTTCTTCTAAA